CAGCAGGAGGCTGGGGTCCTATAGGGGCAGTGGGGTTTTGGGGTGCTTTGGGGGTGGTGGGGTTTGGGGTCCTATAGGGGCAGCAAGGATTTGGGGGACCCTCAGGGCCACATGGGGGTGGGGGGGTCAGAGGCACTGATTTGGGGGAGCCTCGGGGACAGCGGGGATTTAGGGTCCTTGGGGGCTTTGGGGAGCTTTGGGCCCCCCTCTGGTGCTGTTGCTGGGGTATTTGGGGGAGAAAAAAGGAGGGGGGGTCTGGGTGTCCCGCAGGTAGCGGTCAGCGGCGCTCTGGCCTAGGGGGAGCAGCGGCTGGGAGCTCCCGTCGGGTCTCTGGGCCGTGTCGGGCTTGTAGGGAGATGCTGGCGTGGGTGGAAATGCGGTTGGGTTGTGTGGAGGGGACACCGCCTAGCAGAGTGAGGGGTCTGGCGCCGCAGCAGTCTCGGTACGGAGACTAAAGCTCCCGAGTTCCGTTACTGGGTGGGTGCGGAGCGGCTGCGGTCTTCTCATCCGAGCTGGGAGATACTGGGCTGCGGGAAATAAGGGCGTGCAGCTTGGAGCGGGGAGTTGTGGGGACTGAAAGGCTGCTGGAGGGTGTTGGTGCTGTTTCGGTCACTGCAAGTAGAAGAAGAAAATCTGAGTCTGGAAATGAGAAGCTAGTACATTGTGAGAACAACAGAGAAATTGATGGGGTGGGGACGAAGAACCACCTCTGTTTTTTGTAAGGCAGTGCTTCAAAATGGCAATTAACTGTTAATTGACAAAATTGGTGAAACCATTAATTGACTGAAGTTCTGCTCTGAAAGTTACTGAAAGAGATTTGATGATCTGAGATCTTTCCCAGTTAATGAGCAGGAACAATACCTGCTGGGGCTTTGAGAAGGGAGAAAACTGCCACCTTTGCTGCCGTGCATGCCCGTCTAGGCCACTGCTGTGTCGTTACTCACATTCTTGGAGGAAAGTGTACAGATATTTCAGAGGCAATTGCAAAGCTCTGTGGAGCTAGGGTCATTTCTCCCTGCTCTGTGACGTCCTTTCACGATATTGCTGTGAAGTATACAGCTGCTCATGTCTTACTACTTGTGAATTGTGTTGCCTTGCTAGGTTGTGCCATTTGTGTTCTTTTTGCAGTGAAATTATCAATGACGTTCCATTTTCTTTTATTTCTAGATGAAGCTTGCAATTCTTGCTGTGTTTGCCCTGTTCTACGTGGCCCACTGTGAAGAAGGTGCCAGGCTCCTGGCCTCCAAATCTCTATTAAACAGATATGCAGTGGAGGGGAGAGACTTGACTCTGCAGTACAACATCTACAATGTTGGTTCTAGGTAGGCCTTTTCTGGGTTTCTAATACTGATCAGGAACAAATCTTGCCTTCAGGATTCATGACTGTTTCTAGGCTCCATAATGTGCTGTTATCTTTGCTCCCCCAACTGCGAGCATTCATCACACTTCTTGAAGGTTGGACCCTGGAATTTGCTTTTTCCTTCCTGTTCTCTTGTCCCTGCTCTCACCTTATGGCTGCTTCAGCTCTCTGTCCAGCATGGCACAGTTACTCTCATGTCAGCTTGTGATACTCTGTTACCCATAAATACAGAATCCTTTCCTTGTCTTCGTGAGCTTTTTCATTTCTGCATCCCTGTCTTTTTGCAGCTTCTCAGTTTTGCCTTCCTCTTTCTGTAGTCTCTCTGTAATACACCTTGACCATGCTCCCCATCTTCTATTTTTGCCTTTTTGTTTCAAAAAATCAGTTCTGCCAACAGTAGAATCGTCAATATTGGACTGTCATTCCTCTTTGGTGCAGTCTCCAGTGAATAGAATACCAAGTCTGACTTGCTTCTCATCCCCCTTTTTGTTTTCTGTTGTTGAATTTTAGTGCTGCTTTAGATGTGGAGCTGTCAGATGATTCTTTCCCTCCGGAGGATTTTGGCATTGTCTCTGGGATGCTCAATGTCAAGTGGGACAGGATTGCTCCGTATCTTTTCATGTTTTGAAATCTTTTCTCCAACACTCAGTTTTACCCCTAAGAATCCTGTAGTTCACTTGTCTGTCTTCAGTGTAACTGAAATGACACCATACCAGACCCTGGGCGAGGTGCTGAACGCAAACCTCTGTTCTTGAGGGTAATGGGTTTTGTGGTTTTGTTACCTTTTAAAAGAAGTTACTTGCAAACAGTAAAATCACCATGCAATTCATCTGGCTGGGGAAAAGGAGTTGGATGGATCAGTGTCAGATGAGTCTGCTGTCTGTAACTACAGAGGACTCTTCTTTTACCTATTTCCTTACCTTCTTTCCTTTGAAATGAAACTGTTTTCCGTAACTTCCATCTCTCAGAGCAAGCAATGTGTCCCACACTGTGGTTCTGCGGCCTCTCAAAGCTGGATATTTCAATTTCACCTCTGCTACCATCACGTATCTGGCACAGGAGGGTGGACAGGTTGTGGTGAGTGGCTTGACCCTTCATAGTATCCTCACACAAACTGAACAACAGATATGCCTGATTGTGTTCTTTGAGGTGGTTGTTAGGGATGACTCATTTGCCTGTTCTCTTACACTGCACGTGCTCTGCTGCAAGATGGAAAGGTGGCAAATACTGTTCCCCCTCTGCCTTTTTCAGGTTGGTTTCACAAGCGCTCCTGGGCAAGGAGGAATCTTGGCTCAGCGTGAGTTCGACAGGAGGTTCTCCCCTCACTTTGTAAGTATTTTTCAATTGGTAATTGAATTGCAGTTACCATGCAGCCCACTGCAGTGCCAGTTTGTGGTGTGTTTGGTTTGCACTACAGTCACCTGGAAAACTCCAGCATGGATTGCAATTAATCTGTATTAGTTGTCCAGAAGACTATCACAGATCTGGAGAACAGGCTTCATCCCAGCTACCTAAAGGAGCTGGCTCTATAGGATTTGGCCTTGGAGCCTTGAGGGTGGAAGATCTGAGAGGATCTCATGGTTATAAGACTCAGCTATGTGTGGCTTGTTTTGACTTATAACTGTTTCTCCCTTCAGCTGGACTGGGCAGCTTTTGGTGTGATGACTCTGCCCTCCATTGGGATCCCGCTGCTGCTGTGGTACTCGAGCAAGAGAAAGTATGACACCCCCAAGACCAAAAAGAACTGAGCAAAGCTAAATCTAACCGTCACCCCAGAGCTTAGGAGAGAGCAAACATTAACCCACACAGAACAGTGGGTGTGCTTGGATCAGCAACAGTCACTCCTGCAGAGCACTGCCTGGGCTTCAGCCTTGTCTGCAAGAGGGAGTCACCAATCACTTCAGTGGCAATGATGTGTTGTTTTCTACCTCTAATAAAAAAAAAAGGCACAAACCCCACCACCAAATCCCAAAACTCCCCAGCCAAACCCCCTTTTCTGTGTATTTGGGGTAGAGACACCTTGCTTTGTTGCAGATTTAGTGCTGGTGTGGCTGTGATATCAGCGTTAACACCTAGAGAAACTTGTTTCTGGGTGTGCAGCTCTGCAGCATTTCTGACCTCTGTGCTGCCTTCCTGACTCCCTTCAACCATGTGGATTTTTGCCTGCTGCAGCCCTCTTAAACCTTGTAAATCTTAGTGTCCATCTCTTCCAGGTGCTGCTCAACTTGCCAGAACAGCTGTGGAAAGGAGCTCTATCTAGTGATAATAAGAGACCTTTTGACAGAGGCTTGTTAGAGCTGCTTCTTGGGGTGGGGCATGGGAAGCCCACTGGTATTTCAGTGAGGAGTTGATGTGTTTCTGGTTTTTGTTTTGTTTTGTTTTTTTCCTTCTTGCTCTTGTTGCTCTGGTGAGGGTTGAGGTAGCGAGGTTTTTATAATAAATCAAACATAATGGAAGAGGCCTGCTTTTCTTTTACTGGGAAGTTCTAGAGGTGCTTGGCTGCCTTAAGATGCATCCAACGGGTGGGCAGATGGGAGAATAAATCAGTACACTATTCCCTCTGTAAAATAAAGAGTAAAAGCAGTGGAAACGTGTGGGAGGCAGAAGTCACTTTGCCAGGTTCATTCCTCTGTCCCTGCAGGGCTGGTAATTTGCACCAGCTTTCCTGGCAGCCTGAAGCTCAGGAGTAATATTTCTCTTCACATACAAAACAAATTTCACTCTGTCTTTGTGTTGGGCATGGAACTGTGCTTTTCCTCTGGAGGAGATGGCACAATGATGACTTGCCCCAGGTGACCTGGGGGTGCTGAGAGTTGTTTCCTTTCACAGAATCATTTAGGTTGGAGGAGACCTCCAAGATAACCTAGTCCAACCTCTGACCTAACGCTAACATGTCCTCCACTAAACTATATCACTAAGCTCTAGATCTAAATGGCTTTTAAATACCTCCAGGATGGTGACTCAGTCACTTCCCTAGACAGCCCATTCCACTGCCTAACAACCTTTTCCATAAAGACAACACGTAGGCCTCTACTGAATATATAAATCTAAAGAAAAGGGTTGAGTGAAGTTTCAGTCTCGATTAAAACTTCTAACAGGACAAACTTTTTCCTTCAGAACACTTTTTTGTTTGTCGTCTGTGTTGGAAATGAATGCTGTGTTTGAGCACAGATTGTGTCATGCGGGTGCGGTGACAACTGAAGTGCCACTGTGCATTTACATTTCAGTGTCATTATCACAAAAATTCACATCAATACAAAACCACCGATAGCAGCTGCTTTCCTCTCTCCATGCCTTTGGCAGTGGTCTCCATCCTTCATTCCCAAATCACAGACATCATACAGAGAGGTTTTCCTCTTGGTGAAACCCCTGAAATATCATTCATTTCCCAAGGAAATGACTGTCCTACTATTTTGTTTTTTGTCTTTTGAACAGAAAGAGTTGTTAATCTGCCAAACCAAGGACAAGCAAATTATGGCATTGCTGCCAAAGACAGCAAGTGGGCAAATTCAAGCATCACCTGGCTCAGCTGTAGGAAAAGGGAGCTTTAGCAGCACCAGAAAAGAAGGTGCCAGCTAGAGCCTGCCTAGATGAAGTTCCTTCTGGCACATATTTGTGCCTCTAGATACAACATGTAGGATTTTGGGATGGTGAAACTGATCTTTTATTTTTCAAACAAAGCCTGCAATCTCATAGACATCATCACACAGAGCTAAAATAATATCCATGTCGTGATAGTAGTACTCAGTGCTGAACTGGAGAGAAGAAAATAAGATCTCCATTATAACTGTAGGTATCAGAGTTTAACTCTGAAAAAAAAAAAAAAAAAACAAACACTTTTTTTTTTCCCCCAAAAAGAAGTCACTTGGTATCTGTAAATCATACTCCAAAATCCTCCCACCAGATCCACACAAAGGACCCCCTCTCAGTCTGTAGCACAAGCTGAACTAGCAGAAGGAGTTTGCCCATAGAAGATCAGAAAATGATTCTTGAATGATTCTTGAAGTCAGTAGATTCATACAAGCATAGCACCAGCAGTTTAACTGAAGCCACAGGAGTCCTCTCCAAAGCACGAGGTCTTTCTATATTTGTGGGTAAGAGGCATAACTGGCAATCCCACAGTGGTTTGCATGGTTTCTTGACATGCGGATATAGCCATCGTCACCAAAACGCACACCCCAACTTTTGGGAGAAGAAACAAACTATTAGACATTAGAAAAAAATCCTTTTTCTGTGAAGCAGCAGCTTTATCAACATTCTAACATTTTTGAGGTCTCTGTCACAGAGCTTTTTACAGGCAAGCGATGGAATAAAACCATTCAGACGTCCTTGTGTCTGTAATGAAGTGTTTTGATCAACTGCTTCACGGAACTTCAAATTCCGGATTAAGTTTCAACAGAACATATCAACATAAAGGGAACTTTAAATGCATTTAAAATACTTATACACACTTTAAGTTCCTTCACATTGCTAGGAGGACGTAAAGATTTCTTTGATGTGGTTAAGCATGAATCCCTAGAGAACAGTTTAAGGCACAATACCAGTGTTCAATTCTGTAACAACTCCCATCACGTAGGCATCCAGCTGACCTTCCTCTAATCTATATAAATATCAGTTGTTATAAAATCTGTAGTCTGAGGCTGCCAATGTGAACAAAGGGAGATGACCTATGAGAAGCCTACCACGGTAGATAGTGAGCATGTAGAGTTTGGTGACTTACTGCAGTGCATTTACCTGTTTTTCACAAGCCAGTAATCCTTATCATTTAGGGTGCCATAACCAATCACGAGTACTCCATGATTCACCTCCTGTGTGCACCGTGGGTCATCATACACACCTGCAAAGCAACAGAGTTTGAAGAAAGCATGCCAGCAGCCCACCAGACCCCATCAGCAAAGCAGGCCTAAATTCAACAGTGTCTATGCTAGAGGCTGATAGCAGCTAATGCTACTATCTTAGGTTTTGTCATATTGGTGCCTTATCTAGCGACTGAGGCCTGACTTGCCATATTCAACCTATATTTAAGTTTCATAAGCTTTACAGGTAGAGAGAGACAGAAGACAAAACATGGCCACAGATCTGTGTGGCCTCTGGGGTGAAAAGGACATACCTGACTTGTACAAGAAGAATGTGGGCTGGGTTGCGTCAATGGCAACAGAGACTGGTCCAATATTGGCTACAGCATCTTTCAGGGCTGCTTCATCAGCATATGGGAGCTCAACATACTTGGAGCAAGTGGCAGCTCGTGTGGAAACATTATATTGACATGTCCCGTTCTGGTTGATACAAGCAGGAGTTAAGAAAAGGAACACATGGAATCTACCAGGAGCATCTTAAGTCTTTCAGGTACTTGTTTTTCTGCCAGCCCCCTTTTACTTCATGCTACCCTATTATTCGCTTTTCTTTGACCACCATTTTTCTGTACACAGAATTATAAAGTGGATGGCAGAAGGGACCTGAAGAGGTTGTGTTGTCCATCTCACTTCCCCACAGCAAGAACAGCTAAACCATTTTATTAGTATTCTCTGCCCTTTTTTTCCTATAAACCTCCAATGATAATACTTCTACCATTTTGCTAGAGCAACTGTCACTGCTTCCTCACCCTTCCCATCAGAAAATTAACCTCACATTTAACTTAAATCTCCTCTATTGTAAATTAAGCCTGTGGCTCCTCATTCTCTCTCTAGACACAGGTAACAGCATCTTTCATCCCTGTAGCTGCCTTATGCGTGTTTTAAGACTTGTATTTCACTTTCCTTCTTGAACTAAGAATCTGTTCCTTTGACTTTCTATCACATGCCATGTTTTCAAGACACCAGGGCATCTATTTTTTTGTCTCTGGCCATCAAGACACTTAGCAGGAGGATATTTATTTGCTCGTGGCTCAACAATGTGAAACAACATCAGGAACAGCATGCTGCAGAACTTACACAGAAGCTTTTCAAAAAACTGTCTAAATGTAGTTCACTGGAAACCTCTGCCTGCTGAAATGGTAGAAATACAAATATCCCATTTTTAAACTACTGAAGATGGAATAATACAGAGAGCTCAGAACAGTACCCAGGAGTGCTGTCCCATTTTTCTCTTCCATGTGTTGTGATATCTCATAATTTATGTAGGACAGAAATGAACCTGTAGAAAGTCTGGCTCCAAGAATTCATTCACCCATGAAGGGAAAAAAAAAAAGAAAGCTGAAGTTCTCTTCCCCAGGGTTCCCAAGATTTAAAGCATCATCTGCAAAGACTACGACTATACAGGAGACTGGTGAAAACCAAGACAGAGGGAAACCAAAATTGGAGGAGGGAGGGGGCAGCCACGCAAGAGAGCAAAACAAATTACCACCTTGCTTCCTCACTCCTTTTAACACCCGGGTATTTCTCTAAGGATTTCACATACTGTTTCAGAATGATGCCTACCTGAGCCATGTATGGGTAGGATTCATCCGAGTCAATCCCATTGTTGTCTATGATGTACTGGAAAGCTCTGGTCATAAAACCTCCACTGCAGCCCTTGTTCCCATACATCATGGAGCAGTCAACCAGGTTCTGTGCGCTCAAGGACACCAGCTTCCCCGTTTTCAGCTTCACTTGGGCTTCAAGGGCTCCCACAGCACTGAAGGCCCAGCATGACCCGCAGGCACCCTATAAAAGCCCCAGCAAGGCTCAGGCACTGTCCCATGCTGCCCCAGCATGGACCAGGATGGGGAGAGCTTCGCACCTGGTTCTTCACCTCCGTGACACAGCCCTTCTCTCGCCAGTCCATGGTGTCCGGGATGCTGCCGCCTAGCTGCGGTTGGTACATGGAGGACCGGTTGTGTCCGTGGGGAACTTTCAGCCCAGTCAGCAGAGCAGACACTTCCTCACTGGTCTGAGGGTAGAAGCACCAGTTCATGATACCCCTGCATCTGATAAGGCTTACATGGGGGGCATGGGAGGTGGTAATGGGTTTCCCTCAAGCTGAAGGAGTTAGAGGGTTTGGGGAGATCCCTACCTTTTTACGTATTTTACATTTGAGTTCTATCTGCTCATTGACAAAGGCAAGAAAAAGAAAATATGAAACTTGACTCCAGCCCCAGAAATCCCTAGAAGCCAGTATGTCTCATTAACCAACACTACAGTCTTGGGGTATGGAAGGAGTACAATTTGCACATACACATAATGACCAAGTTCACACACCGCAAACACTAAGGTAATGGGGAGATTTCCTCACACCTGATTGCCTCACGCGGGCAGGCTGAACATGGCAGCGTCAGGGCCGTGCCTACTGGAGGCCAAAAGGAGAGGACGGACCAAGAAGGGCTGTCAGGAGCTTCTCTACCCCAACCCACTTATACAGCCTGTTTATCCGTCTGTCCATATCCCCTGCCCAGGTAACTCATGAAGTGGCTGACCACCTTGGGGTGTCACCTACCATGTCAGCCAGGTGGTTCATGCCTAGCTGATAGGAGTGCAGCCCCAGGGAGTGCTCCAGGTTGTGCAGCGTCACGAGGCGCAAGTTCCTCTCCCACGTCACGCGTCGCTCCCCTTCCTCTTTCTGAAACCAAACCCAACCCGGCAGCGCTGTGGTGGGCAGCAGAGGCCCCCCAAAGCTATTTCACCCCTGCCCTGGAAGGTTGCTGCCCCTCCCTACCCCCCCCACCAAACCATGCCCCCCACACTGCCCCTACCTGGTGACGATACTCTTTACCATGGGCTTTCTTCCAGAGCTGCCAGTGCCAATCCAGCGTGGAGTCAGGCTGCCCCAGCACCACTGCCAGCACGGCCAGGAAGGCAACGTATGCGAGCAGCTCCATCTTGTGCAGCCGGGCCCAGGGAGTTGGTGCAATGCCGCACAGGCACTGGGAGCCACGGGCTCAGAGCTGGAGTGGGGCTGTGCTTGACCGCTGTGTGACAAAGCCGGTTTGGTAAGGGAAGCAGAGCAGGTCAAGGTGTCATCACCGGGCTCCCCAGTGTGCCCCTGGCAGGGTTTCCACACTAGGTGACGCCGACTGCCCCATCCTGCCCACAGCCCTGTGCCTGCCACCCTGCGATCCAGGAAGAGGAATCCCACCAGGACTCAAAGTGCCCTTGGGGAAAGCTCAGCTGGACACAACCCGTGCCCATTCACACACCAGAGGGCAGGGACATATCCAGACATGCATCAGCTGGTGCTTCCACCCTGAGAAACCCTTATTCATCCCCCTGGCCAGGCGTCTGCTTTCACAAACCTGTGTTTTACAGCACCTAAAAGCAAAACAAAACAAAACAGCACACCTATTTTCATGCAGCTGATATCTGCCAGCTCTCAAAGAGGGGCTGCTGCAGAGGGGTGCTTGGAAGAGATTAGATAGAGACAAAGCCCCATGTACAAACATTTCTTCAGTTTTACTTCCTCAATGCTCAGTTTTCCCACAACTGTAAGACACAAATGCAACCCACATACCTGGGCAGCCTTCTGCCAGCTCAGGGAGCACAGAACCAGCGGAGGGACGCCAGGGGCCTGTCCAGTGTCCTCACTGCCACCCCAGGGCTGGGACACACGGGGGCTCACACATACAGTGACTGCAGCTGCGACTCGCAGATCAAATCACATGAGCTGAGAAATGAGGAAATGCTCTGATTTCGTTTTCACTTAGCTGAGACCATGCCCGTGGCGCCTGATCCAGCTCCTCCACTCCTGACAGAGGAGGCCATACATCAGTGCAATTAAAGCAAGCACCAAAAAAAAAAAAAAAAAATAAATCAATCACTTTTTTTCTTCTCAGACCGGAAGATGTGGTTTAAACATGGCCACGTTCCGGAGCTGAACCTGATGCATCTGTGGCCGGTCCCTGCTGCACTGCAGAGAGAATGGCATTTAATGCACATTAAGTTGCAGACAGCACAATCAGTCTGCCAGTGTCCTTGGAACTTCACCAGACTCCCCCCTAGAGGAGAGTGAGGCAGGAGGACACATTCCTCTGCACCATGCAACATAAAATGGCTGCAAGAAACCATCTTCTGTGCTGCTTCCTCCTCCTCTCACAATGTCACAGGAGCTTTAAGATTCAGCTGAGTCATTTTCTGAAAGGCAGCTGTATCTGCTGGAGATTGCAAGAGAGCAATGATAGAGAACCCTCCACCTAAATACTTTAAGTAATTCCCAAAAGATTTCCCCTTACTGGTGGATGTTCCTGGGGAGAGTGAATGAAATGGTCATACGTGAGACACTTGAGCAATCCAGCTGCTGGGTTCCTAAGAAAGGTAAGGCTAGAGCTAGATCCACACATGCTTGATCTGCAGGGTGAGTGGTGGCATCTCAAGAGCTCGTCCCAGAGCTGGAGGCCCATCTAAATATGGGAACAGGTTCCATAGCTAGCGACCCCACAATAGATCACACAGTTCCTCACCAATCCAATGTAGCCCTCACTGCCAAAACACACCCCTGAACTTTTGGAAGAAGGAAAAGAATAAAATTAGACAACAGGAAGAAACTGCTTCTTTCCCGTGCCATCCCTCCATCACTGCCACTGAGTTTTTACTGTTGTTGTTAATACTGAACCCACTCTCTGCTACAACCCAGGTCATGTTCTGTCCCCAGCCGTCACAGATTTTGCCAAACTTTAATCTTCTGGCAAAAAGGGAGGCTGAACCTTCTCACTGATACCTTCTCACTGCCAGATGTTGCTGCCCCTAACTTTTCTTGGTGGAGGAAGCAGAGGGAAATTATTTTTTTTTTTTCTACACACTGGAGTGTGGCAAAGCCACCAGGAAAATACAAGGCAAAGGTACACAAATTGTTTTTTGCATTCTAAAAATACATATTTTGAAAAAGGCCTAACAAGGCCAGAAATTAGACCTACAGGAGGAAACCAGTGCTTCTTTAGCCCAACACTGACATGAGAGCAAGGGAGTGCTGTTTAGAACTACCCGCATTTTGTTTGTTTTCAGTTGCTGAATGTAGCTTTGCTGACATCACAAGTTTTTCCTAGAGATGCAGCTGTATGAGCAGGACTATTGCATTTCAGCACTTTTTTGTTGGTGGTGGTTTCTTCTATATTTTGAACGCTGAAAAAACATCCAGAGATGCACTGAAAGGTAATTCCAGACAAGGAGCAGCCCAGCTACAGCAATCCTTTATGCTATGGCTCCAGAACAATGAGCTACACAGAAGCATTTTCACTATGTCCACCGTGATTTATAGGTCTTAATTAAGGGCCCATCACAATGCTTTTGCGATTGATTTGGGCCCTTAAACACACCTAAAGAAAGCTGTCGTGCACTTAAAAGCTGTTTTATTCCAGCAGCATGGTATAAGGAGGTCAGAGAGCTGCGCACCCACCTGCCCCAAAAGGAATTATATTCACTCTCCAGGGACATTACTGATGCCACTGATGCCTGTCACCAGGAATGAAGGCAACATAAGTTAAATGCAAGTGGAAGTCAAAGCTGCAAAAATTTACATTCAGTGAAGGCAGGCTGCCAGAAGGGAAGGTGCACCCATTTGGTGCAGGAGGAAGGTGGGCTGGCTGGCACCCATGCATGCAGGGACTGTACCTACACTGGCACCAGTGTCCTGCAGCACAGCTTCATCAGTGTGTGCAGGAGCTGCCCATGCCACTGGGTCATAAGCAAGACACACCATCCTGGCTAAAGCAGGAAAGGGAAAAATGCAGGGATGTTGTGCAGTATCTCGTGCAAGAGATCTGGTGAGGTACAGACACTATGCCTGGTTGTGCCCACAAGGGACTTTCATCCCAGTTAGCAGAGCAGCCACTTCCCTGCTGGTCTGGGAGGAAAGCAGCATGCCTGCATTCACCATATGCTGGTGTTTGCTTTGTACATCAGAGGAACATACCATAAAAACAAGAAAAAAGCTCATTTTTAACTTTTTTTTTGGTGTAAATTTCTAAAGCAAATACCGCCTTGCCTTCCTGTTAGGGCTCACCATGAGCTTTGCTGCAGCCATTTTTGCAATTTGTTTCATTAAAAGGAGCACTTGGGTTTCACGGGGGGGGGGGGGGGGGGGGAGGGTGATGTGGGGTTTGGGCTGCAAAACACCACCCAGTCCTGGCATGGACATTCACCGTGAAGCCAGGGCGCTGCAGCCTGCACCAGCTGCTTATTTCTAACTCTGCTTTACTTCCACTCCTTTGGTCCCCCCATTTCTTCAGCCTGCTGCAAGAGTCCTGCAAAACCAGAGGAGATCTTTCCCATCTCCAGCCATCAAAGGAATCAGGCACTACTTTTTCCTGTTCTAAGGCCACCAGTATTTCCTGGTCCCCATGGTGGCAGCAGCCCCTTCTGTCCTGCTTCGCCCCAGCCAGCTCCAACCACTCCGGGAGGGAACGGCTTCCCCCCAACTGCCCCCCCAGAATCCCCTTCTCACAACTGTGTCAAGGCAGCACAGAGCAAATCAGACTGAGCTTTATTCCCAACGTTGTTTATTTAAAAAAAAAAAAAAAAAACATATTTTCCACAGCCCCCTGGGCTGAAGGGGGAGACAAGCAGGAGGGCCAGATCACACCCTCGGCACAGGGAGGTCCATGTCTGGCTCCCAGAGGCAGAGACTGGCCCCAGGCCAGTTTGCACAATCATCTCCAGACAGATCAGCCCCCTGGAGCTGGCCAAAACTGGCCCAAGCATCCACTGCCCTGGGAAGGTGGCATCAGGCACACGTCATGCTGATGGGGCCTGGGATGAGCTGATGGCAGCGGTTCTCTGTAGCTGGGGACTTGCCCCTCAACTGGGTGAGATTTCTCATGGGGGAGCAGCAGTGCCCCTGGAGCGATAGCAGCTTTGGAGACTGAGAACGAAAGGTGTGAGTCTGAAGACAGAAGCAGGGCAGGGCAGCCTGATGGGCACAGGAAGGGAGCAGGCTGGGAGCGCTCACATCTTGGGGAAGCTGGCAAGATTGGCGATGCCACAGGCGTTGTTCATGTTGCGTGCCAGGAGCACGTAGCCTTTGTTGCCCCACTCCTCACCCCAGCTGCAGCACGAGAAGGAACAGCCTGAGCTACCAGCAAAGACTAGGCAAACCCTGACCCAGAAGATCTGTCCCGTCATACCTGTTCTTGATGATCCAGTGCTTGGTGCCCTTCTGCGTGCCATAGCCCACTGCTAGCACCGCATGGTTGATGTTTTCAGCATTACAACTCTCATCATAATACACACCTAGGGGACAGGACGGGTGATCACACTTGGGACAAACCACCTGGCCGTGCCTCAGTTTCCCCAGGCTGATAACGATCTGGCCACTAGCAGAGTAGGGGTTCCCCCCGGCTCTCACCCCGGCTGTAGAACTGGAAGGAGGGCAGGCTGGCATCGATGCCCACAGAGACGGGTCCAATCCTGGCCACAGCCCTCTTCAAAGCTTTCTCATTGCCTTCAGGAATTTCCCGATAGCCACGGCACTTGGCCGCCTTTCCGGTGGGGCTGTACATGCAGCTCTCGTCCTGCACAGAACCAGCAGGGGCCAGGTGAGAAGGGGATGGGAAGGTCACCCTGGGGGGGGGGGGGGGGGGTTACCCAACCCAGCCTCCCAGACCCTGACCTGGCCAATGTAGGGGTAGGCATCCTCTGAATCTATGCCGCGGTTCTGCCGGACGTACTCGAAGGCGTTGGTCATGTAGCCACCACCGCAGCCGTTGTTGTTGGCCACACAGTCCACCAGGTTTTGAGGGCTGAGCGAGAGCAGCTTCCCTGTCTTCCGCTTCAGCTGCCCCTCCAGCGCGCCCACCGAGCTGAAGGCCCAGCATGAGCCACACTGGCCCTATGGGGACGCAAGGGGTAAAGGCGGGGAGCTGACGCACTCTGGACACCCCAGCACCCCCAGGGGCACCACACTCACCTGGTTCTTGACGGGTGTCACGTAGCCCTTCCTCCTCCAGTCCACGGCAGCAGGAGCTCTGTCAGTCCAGTCAGGGATGTAGAGTGTCTCGTTGTGGTGTGGGCGGCTCCGGGGAACCTTCAGGCCTGTCATTGTCCTCACCACCTCCTCACTGGTCTGTGGAAGGAGCCGAAGCAGGTGGGTGAAGCCATAGGGCTACTGGGCAGAGCACCCAAGGGTGCTCTGACTGTCCCCTCTCTCCCACCCCATCGCTGGCCCCCTAGTCACTCACCATGTCACCCAGGTGGTTCATGGCCAGCTCAAAGGTATGGACACCCAGCGTATGCTCCAGGTTGTGAGTGTTGATATACTTGAGGTTTTTCTCCCAAATCAGCCTCCGTGCCACCTCATCCGCCTGTGCCACAGGGTGAGACAGTGTCGGGGCACAGCACAGGATGAATGGGTCCCGCCCACATCCCCCTTCCTCCATGGGGACTCACTCCATTGCTTCACACCCCAAAAGATACCAGCACCAACCCCATGCAGATGTCACCTCCCTAAGATCTGTCACCCCATTCCCCGCGTAGCCCCAGTAATCTCCAGGGTCCAGTCCCCTCCTGTGGGGCTCTGCCATACCTCACCATTGTACTGCTTGCGGTACGTTTTCTTCCACAGGTCCCACTGGATATCCAATGCCCGCTCAGGTTGCAGCTGGGCCACCACCGTGGGGACAAACAGGACCAGCAGTGTGGGCCACCACATCCTGGGGGACAGACAGACACTGTGGGATGGGGACAGAGGCCATCTGAGCCTGGCAGTGCTGG